AAGTCCACTCCACTGTGCAGCCTTTGTTCTGGACTCCTGACATGACAATAATACCTAATCACATACGCTTTTAATCAGTTCTCTCTCTCATCTGTTTCAATGCAGTATGGATAATTAATATCATCTTTCTCAGCTTTCAAAGAATAAAATTGTAACAAACTTAACAAGACTTTAAGAAATCCCAGCTCCTTGACAAGCTCAATTTACCACATGATCTTTACCGTCCACACCACGGGTCTGATGGTTTGTTATTCTGTGGTTGCCATGACACTGGAAGCTCACCCCTTGGTGTTCCAAATGCTCGCAGAGTCAGCTAGGATGGTCAGGTTTCATTACAGCTTCCAGACTTCCATGGACTTGGGAAAAGGACCAGTCATCTACTTCTTTAAAACTTGGCCCTTGAAAGCCAGTAGCAGCAGAACATAGGCTGATTGACCTTCAGGTTGAAGCCTCACAAAGTCTATGGCAATGTGCTGCCTCTTCCAGGTAGAGCCTACCTTGGATGGAGTAAACCTCAGGACCTTTGCTGATGAGCGTGACTCAAAAGGAGAAGAAACTGCTAAAATACCCATTAATAACTGCGATGTAGAATGTACAAAATAAGAATCTAGGAAGGTGGTCAAAGATGAAACACTCAAAGGTGATTAAGCTGGGCATTAGTGAGATAATGTGGACTGGTATTGGCCATTTTGAACCTGACAATGTGATGGTGTACTATTTCAGAAATAACTAAAGAAGAATCGTGTCATGTTCATGGTTAACAAAGCAAAGCCAAAATCCCCAGTCTTTCAAGATCTATGTACCATCAATTATAGCAGAATATCCATACACCTATAAAGAAGACTAGTTATACATACTTATGTAATCGCTAATGGCAAAGGTGAAGAAATTGTAGAATTTTACCTACATTGACCGAGCATGCAATTAAGAGACATTGATAATTACTGGTGGTTGGAGTACGGAAGTTGGAAATGAAGAATCAGTAGCTAGAAAACATGGACTTGGTGATGGAATGAGGCTGCAGATTTCATGATAGAATCTTATAAGACCAATAAGTTATTAATTACAGATTTTTTTTTTCAACAGCATAGGCAGTGACCACATATTGACCTTACCAGAAGGAATCCACTGGAATTAATTACATCTGTGGAAGGAAATTATGAAGAAGCTCAATATTACCAGTCCAAACAGGTCAGGTGTCAACTATGGAACAAACCATTGTTTCTATGCAAGTTAATTAAAGTGGAGAAAATGAAAACATTTCATAAGAGACAAAGGATAGCCTTGAGTATATTGCATCTCAATGTAGGTACCTGTCTTGAGTAAATTTGTCAAATAAACACTAACAGTCACAGACCAGACAGTTGCAATAGGACATCAAGGACATTACATACGAAGAAAGCAGAAAGTCATAGGAAAGTCCAGAAAAGACCCAAATGGGTGTCAGAAGAGACTCTGAAACTTGCTCCTGAATGGAGAGCAGCTTAAACAAATGGAGCAGGTTAAGTAAGAGCTGAACATAAAATTTCAAGGGGCAGCTCGAGAAGACAAAGTAAAGTATTATTCTAATAAAATGTACGAAGACTTGCAATTTGTAAACCAAAAGAAAAGAGCACACATCAAGCTGAAAGGAAAAAATAAAAATCAAGGCTCTATTTGCAGTGTGGAGGCATTAAATTGAAAAATGCCAGAAGCAGCAGCAGAAGGAATGAAAACATACTGATGTACCAAAGGATGTGGTCGGTGTTTCTCAATTTTAGAAGCAGCATAGGATTAAGAAGTGACGGTACTGAAGGAAGATGTATGAGCTGCACTGAAGGTTTGGCGAAGAACAAGACTTCAGGAATTGACAGAATACTAACTGAGATGTTTGAACAAACAGATGCAATGCTGAAAGCTCTCACTTGTCCGTGCTAAGAAATTCCTAAGATAGCTACGTGGCCAGCCAGGTAGAAGAGATTCATTCTTGCGTACATTCTAAAAAATAAGGCGCTCCATAGAACGCGGGGATTAGGAGCACCATCAGTAAACGGTGGTTGGTTGTTGTGTCCACTTGCCGTACAGAGGTCACTTGTGGTCGCTGTGAAGCTGAACACTGTGACACTGATGTGTCAGATGTGGTAATGGTCACCCGTGGTGGACAGTGTTTGGTGGAGCTTCCTGATTAAAACAAGCCTGGAAGCAGGAGTGGCATCCACTTCTGAAATGGCTTGCCTCCAGAAACCCTATGAACCTGGAGAAATGACCAAAGTTATACAAGTGTTGAGGACTTTCGTTCATAGGGTCACTATGAATTGCCTTCGGCTCAACAACACTTAACAACAACAACATCAGTAAAGTGTATGAGCAAATCATATTTTGCTGCTGATTAAAAAAAAATCCACCAAAACCAGTTGTTGTCGTCCATTAACAAAGAATTACCAGAAATCCAAGCTTGACTTCAGAAGAGAATGTGGAATGAAGGGTGGCACTGCTGATTGCGGTTCTTGGCTCATGGCTACGTGTGATAACATTTTGTGTTAACAAGGGCATAATCCTTAGTATACTAAAGCTATGTGTGTAGTAAATTCTAACCACGATGATGTTTATGAGGCAGAAGTAGAAGTGTGTCCTTAAAGATAGGCTAACACCTCTCTGGCTGAGGGGAGGTTTATTGAGGGGTGTGGTTCCCAATGTTTGGACCCTGGCACAAAGCTGGAGAACTTTCTGTCTGAGCTACACCCCTGGCTTCCTGAGTCACAGCCTCCAGACTTGAGCGAGTGGCCTTTGTGCTTGTTGACTTTGGATTTGCTGTTTCTGAAGCCGTCCATCTGTGATGCTGATTTCATCAGCCTCTTTAGTTGATGGCCTCCAAGTCCAAGATCCTGAAACCCTGTCTCCCTACAAACAACTTGAACTCATTAGACACCCCAGACACGTCTCTATTGGGGTTGTACCCACAGATCAGGGACTTAGCAACCTCAACAAGCCATTTCTTTTAAGGAACTTTTTCTCTGTTTAAGCTTC